ACCAAATCTTGAAACTAGCCAGGGCAGAGGAGTTTGCTACATCCAGGAAGTAAGAAGGGATGATGATTTATGTGAGAAAGATCAGGGGCTTCCTGAAGAAGAGTGAGCACTTTTCAAGAGATTTATGTCCCATTTTACTTTTTTACCTATAGTCTTGTATTAATTCAAGACTATCACTCTCATCACCAGGCACCAAGAGATTTCCATTATTTTTCTATTGCTCTTCTACGGCCCAGTATGCCTTCATTTATGTCCTAATTGAACTTCTAAAGATGAAAATCACAGCCTTGGAAGTTTAAAAAAATGTAATTAGATCTTAGAATATAAATCTGAAATGCTATTTTTAATATTGCTTACTGACAAAATTGTACTACCCAGCTTCAACAATAATATGAAATTTGTCACTGTTCTTATAATGTGAGTTTGCCATTCACTCCCTTTCCAAATTCTCCAACTACACAAAGTCTTCCAATATATCATGTTACATCTTAAAGAAAGCAATGCTAATAAAATATGTTTAAATTTAAAAATTTAAAAAGAATGTGAAAATATTAAATAAAATGAATCAATATCCTACATGATTCTAGGATCTGATTGAGTTATTTATATACAAAATCTCTTTGGGGGTGGTTGAGACAGGCTGTTCCTGTAGTCCCTGCTAGCCTGGAACTCACAATGTAGACCAGGCTAGCCTCCATCTCACAGAGATTTGCCTGCCTCTGTCTTTCAAGCGCTGGGATTAAAGGCATGCATCACCACACACAGTTACATATATAATCTTATATAAGAAAGTAAGAAAGTAAAAATTATTTTTCCAAAGAAATATCACATAAAACATTTTAAAACCACAATGTTCTTTTTGTAGTGTTATGTTAATATTTATATTTTCTATTATAAAGTCTAAAATGGAAAATAGGAAAAATTTACAAGAAAGGCAAAAAGAGAAGTTTTATGGAGCCCAAAGGGAAACATTACAGCAAAACCGGAAGAGTTACCTCTAAGAGCCCATGAATACTGTAAGCTCTTTGTGGCCAGTAATATATGAACAAAAACTTTAAGATATACCTTCCTCACTTTGAATATATAGTTAAGCACACTTGGGAAAATATTGAACTGTGAAGACTTTTATGTACACCCCCCTTTGTTTTCACAAGAGAGATAAAAGGAAGCTACTAATTCATTGAATTTTTATCATTTTAGATTTCTTACTATCCAGCATGACTAATCATTAAGAGATATATAAATAAATATAAATCCTTT